ATTCTCTTCTAATTTAGCTATTTTGATTAATTATGGACATGTGAGACAAACTGGTATTTTTCCAAGTTATTAGACCACCTCTACTTTCTATTCATATAAGTATTAGCATTTCATAAATGAAAATAAGGGAACCCATCTTTAAACCACCGTGTATGTTTTTACCATCATTAAAATAGTTTTTGAGTTTATCACTATTTGTATCATTGTTAGTGATTATTCCAGATTGTAAAAATGGTAGAATATTGACGGCAGAAAATGGAACATTAAAATGTAACTGTCCACTAAACACATTCGGTGACGATTGCAGTAAGTACAAATTAAAAAAAAGAAATTTACCAATCTCTCCTCGTTCGTCTAGTAGTTCAGATGGGACAATAAACCTAGGCCCCATTTGCTACAGGCTGTACATGTTAAAGATATCTCGACAGTTGGAAATCGAACAAGAGTAGATTAATGCCGCTGTCCTGGTAAAAAATTCCCCTCATTGCACACTGCATGGCGTTGCCCGTCTTTAATCATTAGCCCACATGGTGCAGAAAAGTAGGACGTAAAACTCCATTCATTTCATTTTTCAAATTTTGTCATTGATATTTTAGAATGTGGGTACAAGTACAAAATTTCCCTCATTGTACACTGCATGGCGTTGTCCGTCTCCATTAGCCCAATTAGAAAAGTAAGACGTAACATTCCATTCATTTCATTTTTCAGATTGTCGATACAAGTTTACAAATAAAACAACTATGTTTCCCAAACCCTACGCAGAAAAATTTATATCTGATTCAGCGATATGTGATGAAAGCTGTGCTAACGATATCAGATGTTCCGCTGCTGCCGTGTCTGTTGGTACTAGAAAATGTTGTCATTACGATACACCAATCATCTTCGTGTCGTATGTGTTAAATGAAGACCAATGTATTGAAAAGTGCAACGAGATGAGTGAATGTAAAACAATTGGCATTGGAAACGAAATGGGTTTGTTCTGTTTTGTATTTAACGCCACCTTTGACAAGATTCCAGATATTATGAAACAAACTGACACTAGCGCTTTTAGCGTAGCAGAAAAAATCTGCGAATAATAAAAAAAACATGTTTATCATGATATAGACCTATCTCTTTTTTATTTTTGGCAATAACCTTGGGTATAAGGGGGTGAGAGTCGACTCTAAGAAACAAAGGCACAGGCATCAAAATTATTCTTACTTTCGAACCCAATGCACCTAATCACCTAGCAGACTATAATCCAACTCGCTACCGACTGAGCTATTCTAGAAACTAGGTATTAGGTGGGTTAGAGCTGACTCTCGGAAGCACAGGCATCAGAATTGTCTTTACCTTGTGGAGGATTCAAACCCACGGCACCTAATCACTTAGCAGACGACAACGAAAGAGATATTCTAGCATGGGCAAGGATAGGTAATGATCGTTTTATATTGAGAGTAAACGAGGTTCACTATATACCCTTGAGGTTGACGTAGATAACAGAGGGAAAAGACATTAAAACGCAGCCGTATTGCATTGGATACGTCTACATGAAGTCCTAAAAATAGAATTGTATCACTGCACGAGCATAGATCATAGAGAGTCTCACATGTCTTGTGTGTATTTCAAATAAGTGAAAAAATGAGTTGCCGATGATACTAAACAAAAGTACACCAAAATGGACACAGGAAACACGTCTGACCACTCTATTCGAACTAGATACCCGGTTGACCTTTGCACATAGTCAAGGGCAGTGGATTGCACGCATGGTAGTAGTTTTTAGGCATTTGTGACTCATAGTCCACTTCTCTATAGGCACTCCATGTTACCAAATGGACTAGAGTTGGTCCTGGAACGGCAGACAAAAAGGTGTCGGAGAGTCTGAAATTAAATAGTTTGCTTAAGTTGACACTAGAAAATAAGGAAACTCATCTTTAACTATATAATTATATGTTTATTACATATATTATTCAGAACATACAACAATGTATTCAGCTAACTGTTCAATAAAGGAACTTTCAAAGATATGTATTTATTTTATGATGAAAAATGGCACTAATAGAATGTCTTCATTCCAAGTAGAATATGTTATATAATAATATAGAAAATGGGGGGAACGATATCAAAACTATCAGAATATCAGTTGGTAACTTTAATAAAAACCCCGTAATGATAATATGATACAATTAGATATATAATACAACAATATAATATCTTAATAACAAAATATCACAGAAGTATCATTATCACAGAAAAATATCTATACACATAACTTTATGCACTACAATACTATTTCAATACATTTGAAATACTATATATGCTATAACAATAACATTAGTACAGTATTAGGTCAGTGTAAAGTAATTATGTGCTTATTAAAACAGTAGTGGTGCATTAAGATAAGACAACAATTAAATAAAACAACCCACTTTCTATAAAAAAAAGAAATGCACCCTTCCTACACATGCATAATACTAAAACACGTACCTACAAGTGATAAATGATAGGGGAAGTTAGGTTATAAGCAGGATGATGCCCTGATGGACAGAAATTCCCAAGGAAATAAAGAATTTGATTTGAAGCAATGTTGAAGAAATTGTTAAAATAAACTTATGATTCCTATTGTTGTTATTATGACAAGGTAATCCCTTGCTTCAATGCAATAAATTAATCCCCCCCTCCCCCTCAAATGTCATTGGTTGCAAATTAAAGATTGACATGTCCACAGCAAATCTCATTGGTTTACATATTAAAGAAGTCTGGCTACATGCATAATAATACTAAGACACGTGCCTACAAGTGATAAATGATATCCAATCACTACTTGATAATCTTCCTCTGATTATCTTAAATAGGTAATCTCCCTTCTTAAGACACGTTCAATGATAAGTAATCATCGTTCTATAGTATTTCACTAATCACCTCTGATTGAGAGTAACCGAGGTTGTCTACATACCCTTGAGACAGACATAGATAACAGAGGAAAAAGACATAAAAACGCAGCCGTAATGCATTCCATACGTCTGCATGAAGTCCAAGTGTATGGGTTTATCCTTGTTTACGATAATGAAGATAAATATTCAGTAATGGGTCTCTTTAATTGTCAAGATTAAACTGTGTAACACTGCTCGTGCGCTTGGGTCACGTGATTACGTGGTAACGCGATCAGTCGAGACAAGCCGATGACCCGAGTGATCGCGTCTGACCATGAGGGGGGAAATTGCTCACAATATCATCAAATATGTATGTATTTCGACTTGATTAAACCGTTTTGTGAATCTTACATTTTGAGTTTTCATCCGGTCGAATGGTACGTATATCCAAGAAACCGAATTTATATGGTAATTCCCTCCTGAAGACACGTTCAATGATAGGTAATCATCGTTCTATAGTACTTTACTGATCACCTCTGATTAAGAGTAAACGAGATTCTCTATACACTCTTGAGGCAGACGTAGATACAAATGAAAAG